TTTTTTTTTTTTTGGAGAGATTTTCACTGTAGGGTGCGTGCGCTTGCCAGACAGACAGAGAGAGACATAGAGACAGAAAGCGAGAAATCACCCCCCAGGGGGGATGGTCACGCCGCAATCCCTTCTCCTCCATTCTCCTCTCGGGATCTTGGGCACGCACGCACACGCGCCCGGCGTGAGTTTTAAGCCACCGGGTCCAGGACACAAACCGCGGTCGACTACGTGGGAATCCAGCGACATAGCCATTACGCTAACTGCTGGTTCCCAAAACTGTTAGAACTAAAAACAAATTCAGCAATGTTGCAGGGCACAGAATCAACATACAAGAATCAGTTCCATTTTTATATACTACCAATGAATGATCCAAAAAGAAAATCAGGAAGACAACTCCATTTACAATAGCATCAAAGGATAAATTAAATTTAGTAATAAACTTAAAGGGTGAAAGACTCAAAGACGTTAAAAACTACAAAACACTGCTAAAAGATATGAAAGAAGATACAAACAAGGGACCAGCAGGTGGCGCGGTGGTGAAGGTGCTGGACTTCCACATGGCTGACCAAAGTTTGAGCCCCAGACTCGAAAATCAGCAGTTTGAAAATCATGGCAAGTCTACGTGTGAGTGTGTGCCTAAAATCCTGAGACAAGAATGCAAAGAAATGTACTGAGATGTGGCCACCGCCCCTAGGGGATGATTTCTCACTTTCTCTCTCTCTGTCTCTCCAGTGAACAGACATGCCTACGGCAAAAAGCTAACAGGAAAAAAGAAAAAAAAGACAATATAAACAAATGGAAAGACATCCATGGGTCAAAACACTTAGTATTTTAAAAATATTCCAGTACCAAAAGCAATTAAATGTAATTCCTATCAAAATTCCAGTGGCAACTTTTACAGAAATAGAAAAAAAAAATCCCCAAATTCATATGGATCCACAAAGTACCCCAAATAGCCTGCACAATTTTAGAAAAAAAAATGAAGCTGGTGGCCTCACACTTTCCAACTTCAAAAAATATTACAAAGCTACAGTAATCAAAAGCATGGTACTGGTATAAGGATAGACGTATAGACCAATGGGACAGATAAAAGAGCCCAGAAAGAAACCCATACATAAATGGTCAAATGATCTTTAACAAAGTTGCCAAGACTCCAACAGGGAAAGACAGGAAACATAGGAGAGAAGCTTCAAACATTGGTCTTGGCAAGGATTTCTCAAATATGACATCAAAAGCATCAGTGACAACAGCAAAATAGGAAAGTGAAGCTACATCAAACTAAAAACTTCTGCAATCAAGGAAATAATCAACAGGGTAGAAAGGCAATCTAAGAAATGGGAATATATATCTGTAAACCATATACCTAATAAGCAGTTAATACCAAGTATTTAAGGAACTTGTATAACTTAACAACAATGATAAAAATATATATATAACCCAATTAAAAATTGGGTAAGAGGGCCTGAAGGTGGCATGGAGGTTGGGGTGGCTGAATCCCACATGGCTGACTCTGTGATTCACGTCTTGGAACCAGCAGCTTGAGAGTTATGCCAGGCACATGTGCAAGTGTGCCCAGAATGCTGAGAGAATGGAGGAGAGGGGATGCAGTGCGGTCATATCCCTTTGGGAGTGATTTCTCATAATCATTCTTCTCTCTCTCTCTCTCCTCATGTCCTATAGCAAAAACTGAAGGAAAAATAAAAAAGGTTGGGCAAGAGATTTGAATAGATAGTTCTTCAAATAAGATGAAAAACCAATAGGTATATAAAAAGATGCTCAGGGGCCAGCTGGTGGTATGGTGGTTAGGTGCTGGATCCTATATGACTGTCTGTGCAGATCCAGTCCCAAATTTGGCATCTTGAGAAGCATGCTGGGTATGTGTGCATGAGTGCCCAAAATCCTGATGGGAAGAAGAAATAGAGGATGAATTGTGGTGTGACCATTTCTCCAGGCAAGTGATTTCTCATTTTCCTTCTCTTTCTCTAGTGAGTGTAAATGCCCTCTAGCAAAAATTTAAAAAAGAAAAGAAAAAAGATGCTAAATGTCATTAATCACTAGGGAAATGAAAATCAAAACTACAAGATACTACCTTCACTCCTGTTAGGATGTCCATTTTTTTGTAAAACAAAGCAGAGGGATCAGCAGTTAGCATAATGAGGACTCCCATGTAGTTGACTGTGGTTCAAGTCCTGGACCTGGTGGTTTAAACTCACGCCAGGTGCATGTGTGTGCACTGGGTATCTGAGTATCTCCAGTCCCCAACCATGGCTCTAGCCCAAGATCCTGAGAGGAGAATGGAGGAGAAGGGATTGTGGTGTGGCCATCCCCCGTGGGGCGTGATTTCTTGCATTCTATCTCTCTATCTCTTTCTGTCTGGTGAGAGCATGTGCCCTATAGCAAAAACCTCCCCCCACCCCCCCAAAAAAACCCAAAAAAAAACAAAAAACAAAGCAAAGCAAAGTGCAATAACAGAAAATAACAAGTGCTGGTAAGATGGGAACAAATAGGAACCCTTGTGCACTATACAAAGTGGAAATGTAATAAAATGGCTCAGCCACTATGGAAAATAACATGAGAGCTGCTCAAAAATTAAAACTGGGACTACCACACGGTCTAGGGAGCCCACTTCTAAGTATTTATCCAAGGGGACTGAGACCAGAACCTCAAAGAGGTATTTGTGTTCTTATATTGACTGATAACATGCATGATTAAGCCACTATAAAGTGTATTCTGGATGGGATATTGCATTTTGTATGTTGTGATGATGTTCCGTGAATGAATATAAAATAAATAAAGTTAAAAAACAAATAAATTAAATAAAATAATCCTGCGGTGAAAACAACCTAAATGACCAATGACAGAGAAATGTGGTATATAGGTACTTCAAGAAATCTGTAGAAAAATGGAATTACAGTTATGTTTATTTTGTTGGAAAAAAAGGAAATCTGTTTATAGTTTTTTCATAATACACATTTTCCATGAAAGGGAAACTTTTGGAGACCCCTTCAGACATACAAATAGACTTTTAAAAGAAAATTATTTTAAAATGGGGCCATGGGTGGCATGGTAGTTAAGGCAACTCCCACATGGTCAACTAGTGATTCAAGTCCTGGGCCTGGTGGCGTGAAAAATCATAGTGGGCACATATGCGTGTGTGCTCAAAATCCCAGGAGAGGGGAGAGTGATGTGGCTATCCCCTCTGGGGACTGATTTCTCACTTTCCCTCTCACCATCACTCTCTGTCTCTCACTGGCTAGCACCCAAGCCCTAAGGTAAAAACCTAAAATACATACATAAAATTCTGCAGTATGCTACAATAAGAATGAAACTTGAGGACATTTATGCTAAGTGAAGTAAATTAGTCACAGAAGAACAAATACTGCACAATTCTACTATATGAAGTATCTAAAGTTGCCAGACTCTTAGAAGCAGAAAGTAGAATGGTGGCTGCTAGGGGGTGAGGGGAGGGAAGAATGGGGAACTACTGTTTATTAAGTATAGAGTGGCAGTCATGCAAAGATGAAAAAGTTCTAGAGATCTTCTGTATAAAAACATGCATACAGTTAACAATACTGTATTGTACACTTAAAATTTTGTTAAGAAGGTAGATCTTATGCTGTATGTTCTTTACCACAATAAAAAAGGAGCAGCTGTTAGTCCAGACCGAAACAGATTCTTACAGGAACTATATCTGACTTAAATAACAAGAATACAAATGTTTGATTTAAGAAAGAAATAACATAGAATTGGAAATGTTAAACACATGCACCCTGAGTGTATACTACCTCGAGTCTGTGTGTAGAAATTCCCCGTACATCATCAGTGTATGTTTCAAGCAACTCTAAATCTCTGTCCTTCTTTCATTCTCAAACACACCTACCCATTGTGCCTCAATCTGCCAGGTCTGGGACTCAAACTGCAGTTTGCCATATGGGATCCAGCTGTCCCAACAAGTAATTCTTAAGGCATGCTCTCTGCCTACTAATATGTTGACGAATTCACTTGATGGAATAGATACAAATTCTCTACCCTCATAAAGTTCTTCTGTTTGCAAGTAAGAACAAGGTAAGAACAAGTGGCATAGGCTAGTCCCATGAAGGCTTTACCCTAAGGTGTTATAGTCAAAGATAGCTGAGATGTAGAGAAATGATGGTAAATTCAAGGAATGTGCCTAATTTCCTGCCCTTCCACTACATGGACCCAGTGCTCTGGCCTGACTGCACAAATTCCTTGTCTTTCTTAAAGATTCAACTTGGGGTCTTTCCAGTCTGTTCTGACCAGTATGAATAAAAGATGCTTGGCTTCCCATCTTCCCAGTACAGCTACTTTTTCCTATCCTTTAAAACTCAGTCCAAACTTTACTTTCTCTAAGGCTTTCTCTGAGTATCTCCAGTCCCCAACCATGACTCTAGCCCAAAGACACTAGAAGCTGCTCCCTCTGCTCTCTCTCCTCCTCAGTACTTCCTGAGCATCTACCGTTTCTCTCACTGTATTTTTATGTCTGTTCACATATTTGTTTTTCCCCCAAGAATGAGTTCACAATATAGAACCTAACAGAGCAAGAACTTAGTAAATGTTTGTGAGACTGAATTGGTTATTATCAATCCTACTCTACAAGTAAGGCAATGAACATTCAGTCTGCAGGTATATCTTTAGATGAAATGAACAACGAAGTCATCTTGCTGAATTCTGCAATGCTGCTACGTATAACCTTAAATGACTGATACAAAAATCCTCTTATTTAAAACCAGAATTAGGCTGACTGCCTGTTAAATCCTTAGGAAGGGCTGAGGGATCACAAGAGAAGAGATTTAATAATTATTTTACACATACAAGGTTTTCAAAGCACGTCCATATCCAGGGTATAAAAGCTGTTTTATAGGAATAAAAGCAAGGATGTCTCTCTGCCTCACTGCAGCAGATGAAAGGACAAAAACGAGCAGCTATGAGCATCTGGAACCCTAGCCTACCAGAATGGATCACAGAGAGTGAGGCCTAGAACTCACCTGGACTGGCCCGATGCTCTTATTCCGGCCTCCAGGCATGCCATCTTCTCTGATAGCTGGAAGGAAACAGTCAAGACTGTCAGATGTATTCCCATTGAAATCTAAGCACAAAAACAGAATTTGTTTGGCCAAAACCACGTTATTAATTGGTGAAGCCAAAATTAAAACACAAGTCTCTCTGGACCCAAACAAAGCACATACTCTTCCTGTTATTCCAGGCTGCTTTATATGCTACGGATTCTTGAGGCTGGCAGGTTGCATGGTGGTTAAGGCACTGGACTCCCACATGGCCAACTATGGCTTGAGTCCTGGAGCTGGCAACTTGCTTCTTCACTTTCCTTCTCTCTCTCACTCTATCCCTCTCTGATCAAATTAAAATAAATAAATAAAATAAAGTTAAATAAAATGATTTTTTAAAGAGGTTTTTGCTATAGGGTGCACATGCTTGCCAGAAAGACAGAGAGAGACAGAGACAGAAAGTGAGAAATCACCCCGCCCCCGGGCGGGGGTGGCCATGCTACAATCCTTTCTCCTCCATTCTTTTTTCGGGATCTTGGGCACACACGCACATGTGCCCGGCGTGAGTTTAAGCCACCTGGTCTGGGACTCGAACCGCAGTTGACCACATGGGAGTCCAGTGACATAGCCATTACACCAACTGCTGGTCCCAATAAAATGATTCTTTAAAAAAAAGAAAGAAAGAAAATATATATGCTGCAGATTCGCTTGGGCCCCCTAGGAACTGGGAATGTACTACAAGCACTGTATAGATCCAATATTCTCAACAAAGGTGGTAGCATTGTTCACTAGTCTCAGTTTCAAAAACCCCACCAGGATGAGGCAGCTAAAGGCTTTGGTAAATTTTAGGGAAA